TTAATACAATATTTTTATGTTTTTCCTTGATATTACTACAATAAATTCAAATAATATTCAGTTTTTTATTTATAATCTAAATATCGTATCATTCATATCAACGTTTTTTTTGTATTCGAGGGGAGGGACAAATCGAAATCACTTGAATAAAAAGCTGGACGGTGAAAAATCACATTTATTTACAGTAGAAGAGGTCCAAAGTAGTCAAAAAACACCAATCGACGAATTTCTGAATAGTCTAGTATTATAAAAGGTGTTTGTAGAGACACTCATTGATACTAAAAGATGAACATAGTTTAGGACTCAACTTACAAATCGAGTCCGTACATAGTTGAAATAAGTTACTATCGACAGATAACAAGCTGTCTAAGAAATCTATCGGAACAATGTATTAGTCAGCTTTAAATATTCTATAAACTAATAAAGAATTTAACAGAAGTAAAATCTTTGATAAACTCGATGATCTCCAATATTGCTTTCTAGTTGCTTAAGAGATGAATTTCTTTCTTTGGAAGCTCATTATGCGCGTCAGTATGTTAATGTGTCTGTCTCATTTTCTGTACTGATCTTTTGAAATATTTCTATTATATAAGCTGCTGGCAAATTTTAAAATTTAATTCTAGTTGAAAATGAAATTCGAATTTTTACTACAACATTAAGAGTAATATTTGTCTTGATTCAGTCTTTAAATTGAGAAGTTTTTTCTCATAATTTATTTTATGAGTATGACTAAATCTAACGATATTTGTTAAGGTAGATATTTAGTGAAATTCTATAAAAGAGTGCTTTTTGATTGTGAACATTCATTAAAAGATAATGTCCTCGATGAAGCTTAGAATGATAGATATTATTATCCGTTCTATCTATATTGAATTTTTATCGGAAATTGCTTTTTATTCACATAGCATCACATCGTATTCAACGCTTCAATACACTTATGCATCTTATTATATTAAAAGAGAATTTTCGAAGTCAATGTAGCATTTTTTTTCATCAAAAAGAAAAAAAGAACTGTAGAAAAAACTTGACACACTTCATCATTCTAGATAGTAAATAAAATAATTAGATGAAATTATAGTTTCAAACGCAGAAAGTGCAAATATATTTGAATAGAACACATCGTTTGCCATTTTCTGTTGAATATATGTTTTTTTTTTCATGTTGTACTTCTAAGATTATTGTGACACAACAAGTTTTATGAGTGTAGAGTTAAAAATAGTAGTAAATTTGAGGAGAAAATATGGAGAAATCACTTTATAGATACTTCTCATCTTTATAAACTCACACCATTCGATGTAGACATTGTACTTCGACCTACATTAATTAATCACACTTGTGATATGAGATACTCACATTTTCGGAGATTTTCCTCTTAGGTTAGTATAGTTTAGTAAAAATTAAGTTTCTTTCTCTGATACTTTTTCGGATATCTTATGTTTATACTTCTTCGTACCGTCTGTTTAGTAGAATAATAGCTCGATTTTTTTTGAATTGGAGAACTTAGAAGTTCTTATGATGATTTCATACGTTGTTTTGATATGAAACGATTCAAAATTTCATATCTTAAGTTGTAAGTTTTTCTATATCAATACAATATAGACTATCTTCTTATATTATGTCATTTCAGTATAAATATTCAATATTTAAAAAGAGAAAGATGTTACAGATGTCAAATAATACATATTTTATTGCATTTTTGAGCAATATGACAGCTCAATTCAATCGTTCTTTGGCAGTTTTTATATTTTTTTTTGGTGTTATTGGTAATATTCTTAATATATTTGTTTTCTCTCAACGATTTTATCGTTCAAATTCATGTGCTTGGATTTTTCTTGTTCTATCCATTGTTGATCTTGTTTCTCTTGTATCTGGTCTTAGTACACTAATAATTGCTGGTTGGACGACTAATCCTAGTAGTCATATTGGATCAATTTGTAAAATTCGTGCTTTTCTTGTATTCTCAACGAGAACGATGGCTACGTGGTTAATGGTATTAGCAACTATTGATCGATGGTTTTTATCAAGTACTAATGCTCTTCGTCGTCAAAAGAGCTCATTGAAAAACTCTCAGTTATGGACAACCATTATTATTATTCTTTCAGCTATTTGCTATTCACAACAATTATATTGTTATGAAGCTAATCTCGTTGATACTCCTCTCCAATGCTACGGGAAAACAGTTGTATGTCGTTATCTCACTGATTTATCTCTTGCTTTAGTTACAGTGTGCATTCCTGTAATTCTCATGATATTATTTAGTTTACTAATTATTTCAAACATACGACAATCTCAGCGTCGTGTGCAAATATTACAATCAACTACTATGAGATCTATTGCCAACATACCATCTCATTCAAATAACCGAAATTCATTGGGAAGGTTCAAGAAAACAGAACATGGTATTCTTCGAATGCTTTTATCTCAAGTTATTCTTAGTATCATTTTTACTTCTCCCTTATGTCTAGACAAATTTTATTCATCAATATTGGAACATAATGGATCTCCAGTTCAATTGACGACTAATGCATTCGTGTACGATTTAGCCATTTTGATTTATGACATATCCAACGGCATAACTTTCTATATTTATATATTTTTTGGTGGTTGTATTTTTCGAAAAACATTGTATGAATTTCTTGTTTCAATAAAACAGAAATTTATCGGCCATTAGAATTGTTGCTTTTTTTATTATTTCTTTTATTTTTGAGTTGCAAAATCAATCGATACAAGTGTCAATTCATGAAAATACATTGATATCGATGACCAATCATTCACAATCAATATTGAATTGTCTCTTTCTCTCTCTATTGTAAGAGGTGAATATTTTTGATGCTCATAAAATATGTAAATATTGGTGGGTGTGGGTGTGGATGTTTTTTTTGTAGGATTATTTGTCGCCAAGAGGTAGTATAGCGTCGCCAATCTTCCTTTTCGCCAATTGGCGAATGTACTGTTGCGAAACAAAAACTTTATTGGCGAATTTCATACTAGTAATTCGCCAAATTGACGAGTTTCATACTAGCGCTAATTGTAAAGCAAAAGAAAATGAAAAACAATTGATACATTTAAAAGATCTATATCGCTCTAATTTTATTGGTTTAAAACAGTATTTAATGTCTGCTTCCTTTATGGTTGGTACAGTCGCAGGACAATATATAGATACAAAAACTGTTGATCATGCAGATGTAAATCCACACTTACTCAATAGTGAAGACATAGCTGATTAGAGAACAATGTTCTTTATGGGAATATCTACTTATTTAATTTATATATGTGTAGAAGGTTCATTGTGTCCTTTATCTATATATATATAAAGAAGAATGTCTGTGTGTTTGTTTGTTCGCGATTCACTCAGTCCCTGTAATAGCTAGCGTCACCAAACTTTCCACAATTCTTTTCTGGATCCTGGAAAAGGTCGACGTCTACTTTTTTTTCAAAAAAAGTTCACCCTTCAACCAGAAAAGCCTGCCTAAGTTGCTAACCAATCAGATTGCAGCATTCGGTACTATACAATACAACTACTACTGAGGTCCACTTCATGAACACATAGAAAAACTTGAACAAGAGATTTTCGAGGGCGGTTAGTTCGAATCTGGGATCCATTTGCCTTCAAATCTGATTGGTTGTTTGGAAAACAATAGGAATTCGGCTCTTAAGAAAACAGACCCAAATGCTTGTACTTTGAAGGAAATGATGGGGCACGGGGTTTTTTGAGGCGATGAGTTCGAATCTGAGATTCATTCACCTCGAAATCTGATTGGTGGTTTGAAAACCAATGGGAGCTCAGTTCTTAAAAAAACAGATGAAAATATTTATACTTTCGGAAAATGACGGGCCAGAAGATTTTTTGAGCCGGTAGGTTCGAATCGGAGGTCCATTTGCTTCGAAACCGGATTGATTGTTTGGAAATCAATATGAATTCGGCTCTTAAGAAAACAGACCCAAACGTTTATACTTTGAAGGAAGTGATGGCGCAGGGAAGTTTCGAGGCTATGAGTTCTAATCTGAGGTCCATTCGCCTCGAAATATGATTGCTTGGCCGTAAGCCAATAGGAATTCAGCTCTTGAGAAAACGAGCCAAAACGTTTATACTTCCAAGAAAATGATGGGACAGGAGGTTTTCCGAGCCTGTGAGTTCGAATCTGAGGTTCAATTGCCTCGAAATCTGATTGGTTGTTTGGAAACCAATAGAAATTCAGCTCTTATGAAAATAGACCCAAACGCTGATACTTTGAAGGAAATGATGGACCAGGGCTTTTTTCGAAGTGGTGAGTGTGAATGTGAGATCTACTTGCTTTTGAAATCTAATGAGCTGTTTAGAAACTAATAGGAGTTCAGCTACTAAGAAACATAGCTAATCAACCTGTGGCTGTTAGGAGAAAAGTCAGGTAGGGACTGTAGAGGCAATGAGTTCGATTCAGGGACCTAAGCAGAGAATGTGGCTATAGGGTATGGAAGCGAGTATCTTCTTCTGTTTTTATAAATAACAAAGTTTGTCTGTTTGCTGTTTGTGGATTTGATTTCGGCGATAGCTAGCGCCATCAAACTTTCCATGATATACTCTTTAGTTGAGAGAAAGATTGAGAGTAGATTGGTGCGACATACAAGGAAAGGGAGGTAATTGGATGTAATCCCACCCAGGTTGTGAAAGTTGGAAATTCTCTGCTCTCTATCTCTACTGTACGATAAGAAAAATAATGTTGACAGGCTGCGCAAAGCGTGCGCATGTATTCATACCACGAATATTCATAGTTTCTACTGATATACCGTTTGAATTCAAGCATCTTCAGTTTCCTGTACGTCTTGCCTTCGCGATGTCTATCAACAAGGCTCAAGAATAATTATTTAAGGTAGCTAGTATTAA